AAATTTGCCTGTGACACTGAGCTGAGCCCTTTCAAAAGCAAGATCCAAGACATTAGAATGCTATGGCTTTCACAACTAGAGGTCTCCCGTGTGAATGGTTGAAGGGGAGAAACTTAAGGGTGAGTAGCACTGAAAAGGGAAGAATCTGCTCATTTTTGTATGTTTTTGGTTTTGTTTTGTTCAAGATTTACATCAACACCAAGTATGACCCAATATCATAAACAGGTCACTTTATTTTAAGCCTAGATTTAGCTACTTGAGCTTCCCTGATTAAGCATTCCAGCAGCTAAACAGTCAGATCGGAGGCAGATTAGAGCAGCTGATAGCATCTGAGCCAAAGCCTGGGGATGTGACGACGCCAACTCTCCTTGTGCAGGCCTTTCTCACAGCCATGGGTGACAAGAACCGCAGGGCCGTGCTCGCCCTGGAGCACATGTTCGCGCCCGTTCTGGACGGTGCCGTGTCCACTCTGCTGGGAGTACTGATGCTGGCAGGGTCTGAGTTTGATTTCATTGTCAGGTAAGTAGGAGCAGTAAAAATCGTGATTATTCGCTCATGTGATCTTTGTTGCGTGTTTCCCTCTGTGTCTGGTAGATTGCAGCATCTCCTCACTGTGAGTCTACTTTCTTTTGAATGTATTAACTCAGAGATATTCTTAGAGCTATGGAGACAAGCTCTCTTCTGGAGCCATCTTAGGGAGCATCTTAAAGACAAAAGACGGAGGGTTTGGGGCTCACAGCAAAGGCAACTGCACAGCTGGAGGCCGAAGGATCACCCAGTATCCCAGATATCAGACCCTGTCGATCATGAAGATAGCAGTCATTGTGTCCCAGGTTAGAAATATCTGCAGAAAGAGATGACCCGTGGTTCCCATGAATTGACTGAATTTGACCTGGGCTTCATCTCCTTCAAAACTGTAGGAAGGAAAACTTACAAATACCTGAAATTGTCACCTAGACATTCTTTTAAGAAGTTAGGATAATGTGCCCAGATTTTGTATTCAAGTCTCCACTAAGATTTAGGAGGCATTTTTTTTTTTTTCCTTTTTTTGTCTTTTGTTGTGACCGGCAATGGATCGCAACCCTCAGTGTCGCGCCTGTACCGGACCGGGACCGGCCACAGGATCGCAACCCTCAGTGTTGCTCCCGCCCCTTGCTCAGCCAGTGAGTGGTCGGTCTGTATGTGGGATCCGAACCCTCGGCAGGAGCGCCACCACGCTTCCCAAGCGGCGCACTATAGCAGTGCGCCACCGGGTCA